TAATATGCAGGAAAGAAGAGGTACAGAGACAGCGAGAGAGAGAGAGAGAGAAAAAATTAAAAATAATTAAACATAAAAAATGGTATATATAGAAACATTTTTCAAATAAAATAAACTATATTTTTGTAACTATAATTTTTTGAAATCACTACATAGAAATGATTTATATTAACTAATAGAAAAAAAAAACATTAATGTATAATATAATATCTTGTAATCTTAAAAGTTGCAAAAATATTGTAACTTACTAAATTAAGAAACTAACAAAAGACATTTAATTTTAATAGCGTTATAATTTAATTTTAGTGACAAACATAAAGAAATATTATGTATAATTAATTACAAACATATGCGTACATTATGTGTATATAATATATATAACTATATAAATGAAGAATAAATAATATTTATAAATTTTATACAAGATATTTTACCCACAAAATACATATATATAATATAATGTACTATTTTTTCATATTAACAAATTTCACACGCAACAGAGGTTTAGCTTTTCATCTAGAAAAGTGAAATACTGATTAGCTGAAGAGATTGCGATAGTATATCATTGCTCATCACTGTTATATCCACTTGTCCTTATCCATTTGTTTTAAAAAGAGAAAAAATTGGGCCACAAAAGTGTTAAAGATATTTCCCTGGAGACACCAAGTAACGACATATTAAGACGCAACTTAAGTTCGTAAAATTACACGATGCGAAATAAGGTCGGATTGCCTTGTATCTCCGATTGTTCTGCGCACGTATGTACATGTACAGGGTGATTAGTAACAGAGAATACGCTGCTGATATGTACATATTTTAATTTACAAGTATCTTGTAGAGAATGAGACTTATGAGACTTTTTATTTAAAACTTTAATATTTAGTACTAAAAAAGCACAGGTTTTTATAAATTATTATAAATAATAAAATACAAAACATTAGACGAAATAAATAATTTTCAAAAATTATATGAAACTTAAATTACGTTTTAAAAATATATTATATAAATCTAAATTTTCTATTAATAAAAATATTCTTGGAACAGATATCATATATAATTATGTATATACATAAATTCTTATTTCTAATTTTAAAATAATTTTTAACGTGAATACGTTAATTCAGCATAACATTACGCATCATTCCATATAAAAAAAATTTATGATTTAAAAATATAAGATAAAATCTGAATGACATTTTTTCTTTTCGCTCATATGTAAGTTTGTATTTAAATTCTAACAAATTGGTACGCACTTATTATCGAGGATTAACTCTAAAATTTGTAGGCCCTTATACTTTCTCGTTAAAATCACCCTGTATGTAGAGGCGCTTCTTATATCTTGATAGACGAGAGCATTGATTGCACGAAAGCGCTGAGCATCGACCAACCAACCAACCTAAATCTGCCTCAGTACGCTCGAGCACGCGAACCCTTCAGCCTTCTGTCCGGACGGACACTCTTCCTTCCATTCTCGTATTATCTAAACAACAACTACCCCGCGTGTCTCTCTTTCCCGAATATAACCCCGAGTGAATTCTCTCTGTCTGCGGTTTTCTGAGTCCCGTTGCACATCCGGAAGGGTACTTACGGATTCACGATTTCTGTATAAACTGATGAAACTTTTAAGTCTCCATTACTGAACTACCAAAAAAATTCACTAAAACGATTCTTTTTAAGGAAATATTTGTCGTAATTTTATTTCAATTGTTGAATAAAAGCGGGATTAAATATAAATACCTAAAATACCGAAATATTATATTTTTATAATTATTATTAAAAAATGACTTATATGACTTCTGTCTAGCTAGTCTCTCTATACTTGATCAAAATTTAATAAAGAAGTTATTGTGATACACTATTTCTGTACTTTATAAATTTATGAGAAAAAATTTTTACGATTATTTTGTTTAGCCAAAAAATTTGTTATGCAATGGAAAAAGGATTGGCTGTGAGTTCGCCTTATGTATTAACGAATGATTCAGAAAATCAAATTATAAAATTTAGGCGCTGTGATATTAAAGTAATTTTGATTTCTGCACTGCATTTCTTAAAGTATTTCTCTCTTGGAACAAACAGTACATTCGTTTTTATATTATACTTATTTCTAAATTATTTAAAATGTTAAAATTAGGTTATTTAACTATACAAAAGATAACTTTAATTCATGCTATTAGTTTCAAGTAATTTTAATTTTTACAATCTTTAAAAGACTTCTTTCTTGATATCAGAAATATAATCAGCATAAAATATCTTTAAAATGAAAGAGATAATTAAATTAATTATGTGTAATTAATCTACAATTTTGCGCTTTCATATCCATATAGTTGGTTTTTACACTGCAGCCTTTAAAAAAATTTTATGGTAATTATGTTTCTGGTGTAAACAGAGAGGTTTCTTAATCTTTCATTTCATAAGACATTGGAAAACAACGTCACAGTGTGATCACGTAGTTTCAATTTTGACGCTGGTATAGATAAATTCAACTTTCAGCATCAGATCGCTCGGTTTAAAATTGGACGTTACATGCATAACACTATACCCTTTTCATATACATTTTTGTCTAGTATCAATTTTGATCATATAATTTATTTTGACGCTAAAAATGAGCGTCAAGTATCAACATAAAAAGGCATTTTAAAGGTTACAACATAAAAATCAAAGTTACTTGTATAAATAATGTGGTATAAATCAAAAATATATTTCGCACAATTAAATAATGTAATTTTAAATTACTTAAGAACGAATATTATTATTTGCTCCAAGAGGAGTAGATACCTTATAGATGCAGCACAAAAATCGAAATTACTTTAATACCAGAATGCATAAAATAGCGCATAAATCCTGTAATTAATTTTCAGTTACTGCTAACACGTGAGAGAGTAATCCACACATTTCTTCTATAGAAAAGAATTATTTTTAGCTAAATAAAACGGGTGTAAAAATTTTTTTCTTGTGGAGTTATAAAGTATATATAAATAGCGCATTATTATACTTAATAATATAATTTATTTAATAAATATTTTGATTAAGTGAAAGAAGTCATCTAGGTAAACATTTTTATATGTTTACATCATATGATTCAATTAAATTTTAATAAATATAATTTATTAACAAATATTAAATTCTTTTTACGACCGTACAATTGATATATAATTTATTAAATTTCGAATTTAAATGATAAACATCTATGAGTCGTTTTACGAGTATCATTTTCTGCATATAAAAATTATTACCTATTCCCCTGAAAAGAGAGTTCTTTTACGACGGCAGAAACTTTCTCGCGGAACACTGACTGACGAGATTAAATGGCCAGTGCGTGTTAATAGCTTGTGGAAAAATTTCTGTGTATGATGATGTTCGTTCGCAGTGCGATTATCACAGTTGTGCGCTACGATAACAACGCTCGATGGCACGTTATGCAAGGTAATTATATCAGAATTGGGTAGGCCGGCTTTTAATGGCTTTTGCAGGAAAGCTCTCGGGAGAAACTCGAGAAAAAATGAAAGATAGAGAGAGAGAGAGAGAAGGAGGAAGGGGGAACAGTAATTTTTTATTATATCTCGTTGAATTCATCGATTAACGCTTTACTAATCTGAATTTTTTCGCGAATCTCAATACCTTTATTTAATTATATTACATTCTTAAATATATTATAATTAATTTGTAAATACAGAGAATAAATCAAGGATTAAAACAATACAAACAAATTATTCAATAATTATAATTTTTTTCTTTCTTCGAACTTGATGTATTGCGTTACATCGCGCATAACTTATTATATTTCTAATTATATTTCTGTTATTTTAAAGAACAATTTGTATTTACTAAGAAATTTCTCACTATGATTTAACACAGTAAAATCATTTATAATTATTTATAATCTTAGTTATTTTAAAGAACAATTTGTGTTTACTAAGAAATTTCTCACTATGATTTAACACAGTAAAATCATTTATAATTATTTATAATCTTTATAATTCTCTCTCCAAATACAGAATTTTTCTATTGAAATTAAGAAACAATTTAATATATTTATACAAATATATATTATGATTAATAAATTATTTATATCGATTAATAAGAATTTCATATTAAACCGTGCGTTAGAAAACTCAACAAATAAGTAATATAAAATAAAATAAAGGGATAAATTCAAATCAAATCATAAAAGATAAAATACCAAAAAAAAAATTAAATCGTGCTTCAAAAATTAAATAATACCATAAAATATTATGATTTTAAACATAAAATGCAATGATTGAATTGCTCTTTTTTTAACTTTATAACCTTTAAATCGTGAAATCAAAGTTATTAAAATAAAAATAAATTGCTAAAGATAAAAAAGAGGAAGAAACTAATCAAAGAGAGAAGTTAATTATAGAAATTAATTATCTTATGTGAGTTTCCGTTTAATTTCGAGTAATCAACAATCAATTTGACTTCGCTAAATTACAGAGTGGAATCGTTATCAACCCACGTAACTAATTAAAGGTTGAAAGTTATGTGTGTAACTGAATGTCTCATTAACATGACGATGGATTTCTATAAAAAAATATAAAATTGACTATTATACTAGAAGAACCATTATAATTTTAATATTATTATTAGAACTGCATATCGGATCTAGTTTACATTCTATAATGATAATTATGTAAACAACTCTAGTTGAATTTGAATTAAAATTTACCAATTCAACGCGTGTAATGGAATGTATTATGTTAATACCCATGCTTTATACCCCACACATAAATCTACGTTATACGCAACGCGCATATTTAATACATAATTACAGATATAGTAATTATCCATAAAATTTTCATAAGAGACTGTGATATTTCTGTCCATCCAACAATCCTTTTTTGAGATTTGTTTTATGTGAGATATAAATTAAAATCTACTTATTTTAGACGCTTAATTATTTGATTAAGACTAATTGTAAAATACTAAATTTCCTATAAAAGTCAGCATTACGACATAATTTGATCATTTTTGTGTTTCAGGTACTTCGATACGACAGCAAACAAAAAGTTGGCGAGCCGAACACAAAGCTGCGAGAACACTTGGTATAATTATGGGGGCGTTTCTCCTTTGTTGGCTGCCGTTCTTCCTCTGGTGAGCATCAAGTGAAAAAAATTTAATAGTTCAATTTCTTAAAAATAAGTTTTATGACTTCATTTAGAAAAAAAAAAATGATCCAAACATTTTTCAAATAATTTGATTAAGATTTTATTCTATATAATATTTCTAATTGAGAAAAATTTGTCGAAAAGGCAAAACTAATAAAGATCAAGATACCAATGAAATGTAAAATAGAAAAGCAAATGTATGATTTAAATTTTTAATTTGAATTCTCGTCAATATAAAGAAAAAAATAGAATTAATTCAATTTAAATAAATTAAGAATTTTAAAGCATTTTGTGTAACATTAAATTAAGTAAATAAAGTGCCTATCTTACAAGACAATTGTAACTGTAAGCAATCTGTCTCTCATCAATTTTGATAGACTTTAGATAGGGATGTTGTAGGTGTAGAGAGTATCAAAAATTATTAAACTCTTATTTTTTGATTGCTTATCTCAAAGTTTAAAAATCCTCTTTAAAAAAAGGATTTTTTTTATTTTTGACATTAAGAAAATATGAATACCATATATTAATAGTATAAAATACTATAAAACTTTTGTGCAAAATATCTCTGAGGTATATTTCTCATATACCTCATAATTTTAAGGATATTTACTGCGCAATAAAAAAAGTTATTATTTTCGTGTTATTTCTACCTCTAAATTTTGAGATAAGCAGATAAATAAAGGGCTTAATATTTAGATGCAACATATCTGAAACTCATCAAAATCAATAAGGAGCAGTTACGACGGTGTTGCCTTAATAATCTTTTAAAATACACTACTCAACAAAAAATAGGAAACACTTTCAAACACGTTAAAAATTGCGCAATATTCAGAACACCGTAATTCGGTGAAAAATCATCGCAGACAAAAAATTAAAAAAGCATTTTAAAGATAAAAATCTCTGTTTTTGAAATCGGTAATTGTTATTTTAATCCGACTGATCCTTTACACGGACACGAATTGATATCCATCAAATTAAAAAATTTTACACAAACTTTATAAAGGCTTAGGAATAAAGTAAAAATTACACGAAAATGTAATTTAAAACAATCGAAAGAGTGAATCTTTACTTTTAATTTGCTTTTTTAGTGAACGATTTTTTTTCATCGAACTATTGAACGTTGAAGCAACAATAATCATTTTAGACACACAAACACACACACACAAGAAATAAATCTCTAATGAAGTCAATAAATTTCTTTAAAAGAAAGAACGCAAAGGATAACTCGAGCTCATCAAACAAAACGAGTGAAAATATATTTAGCCTTTGCTTTGCTTTGTAGAATTTATATATCGAATCGTTTTGTCAAGAGTAAGAGAGAAAGAGAAAAGAGAGAAAGGAAAAGAAGGCAAGAGGAGGAAAAGCTTTACTGATGCCAAATGTCTAAAGTTAGCGGAGGAAGAGACGATCTCGTCCGCCCCATGTTTTATTAATGCAAGCTCGGAAAGTGCATCTCTATGGAGTTTGTCGAGGGCTTACCCTACTCTCTCCGCAAGCTTGCTCGCAGTTTGACTATTTGCTTGACTAAGCGCCACGACCGTAGCGGAATATGAAGGTCTCTTTCAGAGAGACTCGGGGGACCAAGAAAAAACTTTGTCTCAAAGCGTTTCCGATCCAAAATTCAAAATAGATAATGTGAGAAACAGACATGAGATTGGTGGATATCTCGGAAAGTTTAGCCTTGGGATGCAAACTCCTTTAGGCACGTAATAATTATACGTGATGTGGTCACTTATCACTTAGATGAGTTTATCCCTAAAGGAGAGGATTTTGCAGTAAAACTGTTTTAGGATTATGTACCTGGAAAGTAACAAGAGAATAAAGGAGTTTAAAATAGAATGAGAAAAAGTACTTTAATTTTAAATTGCTACGGAAAGTTTGTCGTTTACAGATTAGCTTCTTAAAATTGCTATTAAAATTACATTAAAAAGATTCAATGGAGCGTTTTATACAAGGATAATCTTAAAATTATATTGTAAGTAAAATTAGAATTATTATATGTCCTTGCACGCTAAAAAAAAATTTAATAAATTTTAATTAATATTTCTTTGAATGGTCCTAGCAGAATATTTACTTATGGCAAGTAAATATTTAAATAAATAAAAAAATAATAGTTGAATCAAACTAATGGTTTTTGTGTCTAATAAATATACCTTTACGTTTAATAAATATTCCGCTAGGACTATATTCAAAGAAATATTTATTAAAATTTAATGAACTTTTCTCAGTGTGTATAAAGCTGGATCATATTATATCATTTTATTTTATATTCTTAATGCTACATATTAAATTAGTTCTTATTGAATGCGCAATATTAGTTTCGTAATAGAATTCATGGAAATTTCGTTAAACAGCAAATGATGACGATGAATAAATACGCTCGAATGAAGTTCCGCCGGAAAATGAGCTCTCTATGGAAATAGAGCGAAGCAATGCAGATATATGGACGTGCAACGGAACACCTCGATTTTGCAACTCGATTTTTATTCATGCAAATGCACAAAGCGCATCATTCTACTGACCTAAAAGCTCGCGTTAGTTTCCTAGTTCGGCCATTTTCCGAATCGCGTTATCGACTTTTATACAATCGATTCACTTTTATCGTATGAATTTAATGTGTTTTCAAGAAAATCTCCAAATATCAGTACTTAGAACTGTTTAATTTGTCCTTTAACGTTTATAGTTACTTACACATTTTTGTATCCCAATCCCGTTAACCTGCTAACATTTTAGATTTTTATTTTATTATGTATTCAATATTGTTCTTCTTTCTCTATGTGACATATATTTTACGAGACGTGCTACAGAAATAACAATAGATGTATATTGGAAAACAATACAGCGAGATAAATCCGTAGGAGCGGATGTAGTTATACTGAAGAGATCAACTGCGTTTTCAAAGTCCAATTTGTTTGATTGATATCGGTGGCTTTATAATTTTCGTCAAACGGAGATAACTGTAACCACAAATCCACGTCCATTTAATATTGCACTATATCAGTAAATCGATGCGCATTAATAATGATACGACTATATGGTCGAAAATACGCGGTTGCATTACATTTTTAGCATTTTTCAATTTATATAAAATATCCAATATTCTAGTCAATGAAGCAATCTTTTAGTGACGTGAACTGCATAAAATAAGCTTTCTCTTAGAGAAAATCGCACTAAATTTTTACAATAACATATATAGTTTTAAAATTATTTGTTACTCTTCTTCATCTTTCATTAATTTAATTTTGGAATCTAAATTAGAAATAACTATATCGAACTACAAGCATCATTCCTCTCTTAATTTAAACTAGTAACTGACGTGATAACTTCACGAATTGCCAGAATATAACAGTTTCTGTTTAGTAGATATACCATCAAACATTTACCTCATTAACCAAAACTTTGAGAATTTATGTTGCATTTTTGCAAGCGTAATAACACCTTTCTAAATCATAGGAAATTTCGAATTTCGTTACAAAATTGTGGGTGTTACGTGTGCTGAATTCAGGACATGAATCTTATTTTCACGTCGATTTTCACCCACGTAGGGCAAGGCAATATTGAAATATTGATTTGAAATCTACACATAATGCAGCAGATGCATGTATATACGAAATACCCAGTGTAGATGCCTGTAGAAAAACAGATGAGGCACACGTAGAGAAAACTCGTTTTCCCCAATGTAGTTTTAGCATAAAACAAATCCCATAAATATATCTGAGCTCTATATTCGTGCTTTCAAGGTACGGCTAACATCGCACTGAAGTACACGTCCTTATTGAAAATTATGGCGCACCGTATTTGGCTGATATATATATATATATATTCTCTTGATCTCTTTCCTACAGATTTACAATCTATCTCACGCGCTCGATTATTGATGCTACCATAGCATTATTCCCAAAACGCTTTTTTCTCTGTGAGAAGTGGATTGTCTTTAATAATTTACGTTATTATGTTATTTATAGTATTGCATTTCTTGCGAAAAAATAAAAAACACCTTTTTTACACAATAAATAATTTTTTATAACAAAAAAAAGTAAGAGAATAATATGAATAATATATCACATTCTTATGTTTTATAAAATTTGCAAAAGAGTCATTTTCCATTTATATTTTTCAGTTCAGTTATTCATATTATGCCTTTTTGAAAATATATTGAATCATATTATGGTTCTTTGAAATGTAACTCTAAATTAATTTCTTTCAAATATAAATTTATGAAATCGGAGATAATTTCTTTACATATATTTATATAACACTCGACCTTTAAAAATAGATTTAATAACCTTCTTTATCTTTAAATGTAGAAAAGATGAACTCTTTTTGTTTATTATTCTTCAGGTATCTAACAACGTCATTATGCGGCGAAGCCTGTTATTGCCCGGACACGGTGGTATCGGTGCTTTTCTGGATAGGTTACTTCAACAGCGCCCTAAATCCACTCATCTATGCGTATTTCAACCGCGACTTCCGTGACGCCTTCAAGGATACCCTAAAGAGCGCCTTGCCCTGCTGCGCCAACTGCTGGAAGACACCCTCACAATTTGTGTAGTTTGACATAACTTCAAAAAAAATCTGCCTCCGAAAGGCGTGTTCCAAGTTTTTTTTTTTTTTTTCAATAAATTTTCAGCCAAAATCAAGCCGTTTTGACGATTTTTGAACGTCAATCGACGCTGTTCGCAATTGACCCTTATTACTTGAACATATTGACTTCGCACGTCGCTTCTCCGTTATTCGTAACTTGACGCATAGCACACGCTGTTAATCATTACGTTGAATGTCAATCATCGTGGAAAGTGCATTTTGTAGATCGCGTTCTTTGCATCTCAGCATGTATAAAAATTTCTACTTCAAAGAAATATATTACGTATTATTATTTTAAATAATTTGAAGCAAAAAGGAAATAAAACATATACGCTACGAACAGGATTTTTTTTTAATTTTACGACTTAATAACATTTTACATTTCAATATTTAAATTTAACAATGAAAAGTAAAACTGTAATATTAAAATAAAATAAAAATAACATTGTATATATTGGGAAAAAGTAAAAATTTGTGTTAAATTTTAAAGGGTTAATCGCGAATTTGCGGTCTTTAAAATGTGAGTTCCTAAATACTACCGTAGCCATCGTTCAATAGAATGACGATCGGCGCGACGGCGCGTAATTACCTTCTACATAATCGCATCCCGAAATACATCCGGTAATGTGTAATCCATGCTATCATATCGCCTCGGGAGGTGCGCGACAAACGCTTTAGAGAGATTCGAGATCGAAATTAATGCTTTCCAAGAGCTGAGCCATTAAAACGGGTATTAGCGAATATAATCGAACGCTATTACCGAACGATTATCATCGATATACTTCGATCCGCGTGACGATTGCGAGGCTTAAATTCGGAATCTTCTTTTGACGTTGATGACAAAAGGAATCGATCGAATATCGTAATAATTAAAAGGATTTTTGGAAAATTTACAGCAGCGGTTATTAAATTAGTGAATATTCGCAGAAAATTAATGAAGGAGAAAATTGATTTATATGGAAATTTTTCAGAATATATAATCATTTTCTCCAGCCAAAATAAAAATATTATTCATATGTAAAAGTAAGATATTTGCAGAAGTCACTAACAGTCAACATTCGCACAAAATGAGCAATGCCGGAAGTCACTTGGAATGCGAGTATACACTCACACATACACATGTGTGTGTGTGTGTGTGTGTGTGTGTTAGTGGTATATGTATATATGTGCAAGGGGATGAAAGAGAAGTTAATCTTTGTTTACTCTGTTCATACGTCGAGATAGCCGGTTAGCGCTAATTAGATATAATTATTAGCGTACCGGTATACGCAAGGCTGTATCATACATATAACACAAGACACTTATTAACGTGCCGAGGCCATGTGTAACATTATCGTAATCACGAAACAATAACGCCGCGATGGATCAACACGAAGGATAAGAAGATACCTGTCGCGTGCGCCATTTTGCCTGTATAAATGTACCATAATAGCAATAACCAGAGATGGATTGTAAATATATATAATAATGAAAGCGTGAGTGACTTGTTGTTTTTGTAAGTATAACAAATATAACATGTATTGGCGTCAAGTTCTGTGTGTGTTTTACGTGTTGCTTGCGTGTACACGCTAGGGAGCCGAGAATACTGTAGGGTGACATAAATAAATGGACAAAGAATTCATCGTTTAAATGTATAGTTTTATTTCTTGAATTAATAAGAAAAACGAACTTTTACTGGAATCAAGAGAGAAAGAGAAAAAGAGAGATGACTCTAAATTTCATTAACATAATCGTGTGTTTTACATTATCCGCACGTACTTATTTTTCAAAAAAATAAAAATATATATTTAAATACAAGATAAGTTACTTATGTCATCCTAGTACATACACACGTACCTGTAGAGGTATTCCGTATTTTGTTAGAGTCCTCTCTTTCGTCAGTATTTCAAATCATTGGAAAATATATCGCTTGCAATAACTACAGCAACAAATATTGATGTAACTCTGTACACTTCGGATAATCGAAATTCGTAGTATTATTATCAACTTTTCCTATATTCTACATAATAAAAATAAAGAAAACACATAAAATAATAAAAATGAAGAACAAGACTCGATCTTTGTAAAATCGAAGTAATAAACAACTATAGAAGCCAATTATATTAATTGAAAATAACGATTTCAGTTAACACAGACTAAAGAACAAAAAAAGTAAAAAAACAAAAGTGCAGTTTTGATGAATATTTAAATTACCATTTGAGGATGAAATTGTTATTTTTCATGACGGCCCTCTTTTCTGGTTCGATATATTTCAACTTTATTATTTTATTACAGTTTAACTTGGTGCGCGATATTTTCAACAGAACATCGACAAATATACATATATAATATATATAATTAACGCAGTACGGAATACCTTTTCTGCATCAATGTAACGGTCTGCTTAATCGACCGTTTCTACTTGTTTCTGGATAATCATTCCAGAGAAAGAAAAAGTGAATGAGTGACCGAACGAATGAGAGAGAAAGAAAGAGAGAGAGAGAGAGAGTGAGAGAGAAAGGGAGACTATACTAACGTGCGCAGTTACGCGGACCGTCCGGGTAAAGACACTAATTAGCGTAATTCCCCAGTAGGCACGGCTTTTCCGTGCGTCCTGGAACTTCTGACAAATCATCTTTTTTACGTTCCCTTAATGAAACTCGCCGTACACGAAAATCAACTCGCTCTACAATAACTTTGCTATCGCAGACTCCTTAAATTCGCCATCGAATTCGCCTCGTTGTTCGTAAATAATTAGACTTTGCCAAAATTGAAAAGAAAGCTTGACAATTGCGCAGGCTGTCGGCAACGGGAAAATGGTAGCAAAAGATACTGAAAGACTACTACAAATTTTTGATACATTTAAAATACGGGGATTAACTTACTTACGATTTGTGAGTAAAGGAATTCACGAATTATAAAATAGATAGAAAAATGGCTTTAAATCGCTCTTTGTTAGAAACATCTTTCTTTTTGCATTCTCTTCTGAAACGGGATTTGGTAAATCCAGGATTAGATTTGCTGAAAAAGATGCGCCGTCCAGATCTTTTTCATCTTAAATGAAATATTCGTTCGCGTAAAAAAGGGGATCTTACAAATCTCACAATTTATACAAAGAAATAGAAAACGGAAAAATTAAATCGCAATAGAATTGATTAAATCGTCGGTGTTGTACATACATTGTTTACTTTTTATAATTTAATTTTTTCCACGTACTTTACGATATTCCAAGTTTTGACAAAATCTGTCGATGCGTTGAAGCAGTGTCTTTCTCCTTTGCGTATTTTTGTCTGATTTTTGTTTGGACGGTTTATCAATTCGGTAAAACATCATCATGCACCAACTCGATTTGCTAATTAATCCTATTTGTTACAATCAATTACGAGAATAACGATTGCTATTTTCCCTAGATATTCCGGGCGCTGGACATACAGATATCGAACTAAACTGCGCACGTCGTCGTTGTAGAACAGATAAAAAGAAAAGGGAATTATGTTGCAACGAGGCAATTAGGGACGTCAATAATATCGCCGCGAGCATACTTTTATTCTGGATCGTCGGTTATATGGAACGGTTTTTAATTAATTTATTCATTCGAACGGCGTTTTTCATTCACGAGTATGAAACCATGCACACAATCTCGAAAACATAATCGTCAGACATGTAACAGGAAAGAAAAAAAAGAACACAAGACGGAAAACTTTACTAAAACGAAAATGTTTAATTATAAAATATTAAAATATTGAGAACTTAAAATGTTTTAGTTTTAAATTTTTTCAATAAACAAAGCACCATGTGTTTTGTTTACTGAAAAAGTTTAAAATTAAAATATCTTTAAGTGTTTAAAACACGGAGCCAAGAATAAAATATTTTAATATCTAAAACTTGAACACTTCTTTTTCAGTGTTGGAAAATTAAAAAGTTGCTATTAACTGGAGCGGGTCAGTTTTTGTGTGCGACGTTTAATTAAATGGATAACAATGTTATAATTTATTATTCTAATTGATTATTATTATTTAATACAATTAATTAATAATTAAAAACAAATTTCAATTTTAGTAAATGTTAAGATACATTTTTAATTATGTACTGCCTTTTCTCTCTAATTGTGATAACAATTCTTTGAATTCTCTAGATTTGAAAGATTAACATAATATTGATTTCTCTACTATAACAAACAAAATGCAAATTATGATATGCATCAAAGTACGAACTTGAGGCGAGGATGGCGGGTTTTTCTGATACAAGTGTTCCTTTCTCGACACATCGACGCGAATATTATTTTTCTATGTACATATCGTGATTAGTTGTTGTCGTCGAGGCGTTTAAACATATTTTATATCGGGCTTCCGTTCAAGCAAGTTTGGCTGGTCGTAATGTATAGGAAGAAAAAAAAGTGCATTTAAAAGTCAATTTTCGTGTTCCGATCCAAAAATATCGCATTAACTAATTAAGAAAAAAGAAAGTTATATTAGATTGAAATATCAAAATAGCAAATTAAATTTTATAAAAATATCGAAGCAAATACTAAGAAATAAAAACATCAACAAACAAATATTTATCGTTTGCTCAGTTGAATCTGCCTTTCATAAAAAATATATACAAAATGTAAGCTTAAAACGTGTCAATAATTTAATCTTTATCGAAAGTGGATCGTTCTTCCTTTCGACATTAAGACCCGATTCTGTTAATGTAAGGTTAACTTTAATTTTGGTTTAACTTACTGTTTGTCTTTTTCCAATACTTAGAATTAGAAAAAGTAAATTGAACGCGGATTAAGGTTAATCTTATATTGATAAAAACGAGGCATAAGAAACGTATTAACTGACGTAAAACAAAGAAACCCTCGATTTATTGTATCAAGTCATTCCACACATTCACAGAAATATTTCTTTTATCGACAATATCAACTATTCGCAAACGTGCCATATGATACATAGGAGATTTGACATACATTTCGACCAGCAAAATAATCAATCGGTACCGCTTGTTCGTGTGAACGTGCAATTGTTGTATCCGACAATCTTGAGG